GATTGTTGTGGTAAGAGGAGAAAACTATAGATATATGGCTGCACTTTACTGTATGGCTAGCTCGCTGTTACTGTCTCTTACTCTGCAGTTGTGGAGTCACAATGTCTGGGATCATGAGCGCCCCCTGCCATGAGGCAGGAGAACTGCCTGCCTCACCTCGAATCTGTTCTCTGCCCCTTCTGATCGCTCATCAGCACAAGAAACACGTTTCACACACAGTTGGTGACAAGAAACACTGTACATTATATTATATAAGTTAAATTATGGAAATCGGTTCATACGTTAAATGTTTTGTCGCCATTTATTGGCGACATACAGAGAGAAGGAGCATGTTCCCATTTAATGGCAGCCAGAGCAGTGAGAGGTCGATCAATCCCAGGTGAAGCTCGGCTGCTGCTGCCTCACCTCCGAGCATTTGAATGGGAAAATGTCAAATTTCAGCGATTTTGAAGAAAAAAATAATTAGAATTGGTTAAGCTAAATGAAAAATAGGTGCTTTATAGTACAAACCACAGGGTGAAAATAGTAATATAAATTATTTTATCATTATATTATTTTTCCATGATGACAGATGAGGCTCTACTGTTAAACTGTGTATTATTTTATATTGTCAAAATTAGTACAAAAAGTGTGTCTGTATTTAAAAGCAAGAATTAAATGCAGGATTTGTGTTGAAAATAGACAAGTTCCAAAAATTTATTCAGAACATACAAAACATAATCCTTCATTCATTTGTAAAGCATGTAAAGTTTCTGTAATTCCAAAAGTGATAAACTAAAAAGTATAACTGTCACAATAAGACTTCACAGTTAAAGGAAGACAGATACTTAAACTAATGTAACTCCAGTAAACTCATAAAAGAAAAACAAATACCAGAAATAATTTCAGCATTCAGACAACTATAATTCTCAAATTCTTCTAAATTAAATTCAGATATCTGGAGAGCTTAGAATATTTCATTACATTCTTTCCTTCGTGTCCTGAAGTTGTGCAGTTACTTGACGCATAATTTTAAAACCGATGTCATTTTAGTGCAATTATGATTTGAAATAAATGACAAAAATGGGGCTTCAATTAAAAACGCTATTTTACACGAAAACCTTCATCATGTTTACGACGGATTGCACAGTGCAGATCATTCTTCTTCTTCTTCTTCTTCTTCTTCAGCATCTGTAGCTTCCTGTCAGGAGCCCTCCTCCGATGACGAGCAGCGCTCCAGACACCCAGCCGATGTAGATGGAGGCTCCCAACCCCTCTCCTCGCCTCCGTCGCCAGTGGGCTGTTAAATCCACTGATGATGATGTGAGCCGACCAGCTGACGGGAATGATGCACAGCCCGCCTGCGATGATAAACGCCACTCCACCACCAATGCCAATGTTGGATTTCAACAACCTGTCGTAGTGGCAGAAGTTGGTGCACCGAACCCCAACGATGCTGAGCCCGATGGCCACAACGCTGGCGCCAAGGGAGGCGCAGACGAGAGCCCGAGAGCCCTGCAGGTCCTGAGACAAGGCGAGAATGGAGTCATAGGCCTTGCACTGCAGGTGACCTGTGCTCTGGATCACACAGTTCATCCACAGGCCTTCCCAAAACACCTGAGCAGTGACGATGTTGACTCCAACGAATGCCGTCACCTTCCACATGGGCAGAGCGCAGATGAGAATCGTTCCCATGAAACCGGTGATTGCCAAGCAAAAACCAACCAGCTGAGTCCCCATTGTGTCGAGGCGAATGTTTCCCACTAAGTAAACTAAAAAAGTGGAAAAACTCAACCTTGTGTTGACCTAAAAATACTTCTTTCAGCAGGTTTTAACATAGTTATAAACGCGGTCGGTTGTGTGTTTCTGTCTGTTCTTTGCAGCGTAGCAGCAATGAAAACCGCAGGAGGGAGGGGACTGGATGGTTAAAGTAACAAAAACAGGTTTCCTGCTTGTCTTGATTCCTGCTCGACCTGAATAGTTCAGGAAGAAAGCTCTTTACAAAAGTAGTGCATGGAAAACTTGCTTAGAGATCGCAAACATCAATGATTACATTTGAAAACTCTAAATGGGACGCAACCATCACATTAACCATCATTCATCAAAAAGGAAAAGAAAATGAAAAGAAAATTTAATATGAGTACAAAAATTGAAGGTTCTTCTTAAATGATTCTGATTAAAGCTGAAAATTCTGGCAGCCTGCAACTTGGGAGTGAAGATGAGTTGACCAAAGTGCGGCCATGGGCCATTAAGGGCCCTCTGAAGGATTTTGAGCGGCCCGCCACCATCCTTGCTTCTAGTATGAGTGAATATTGAATGTTGATGTAAACTTTTTACTTTCTACAGATAAATAACATCCTGTTTTAAAAAAATGAGATACAAAATAATCATTAACAACAAAGTTTCTGCATTTATCTTCACTTGGGAGAAACTAGAACCACAAATATCAACCTACATTTATTCAAACGTAAATTAAGTCACTCCCAAATAAAAAAACAATAAATGCAGAAAAGTTAGAAACTGCAATTGCACAAAACCTTTTAATGTTTTCATCTACAACAATTCATAAATCCACTTTTTACAAAAATGTGACTATTGTGTTTATTTAAGTATAATTTTTGTTTTTAATTTGTTAATTCGCATATAAACTTTTTTTAAAGGAAAAAAAAGGTTAAAGGTTTTAAAGAGGAAGTATTTGGAAAGTTAAAAATTCCCCTACTATATTTTGCTGAACTGCGAGATCCTGTGTTAATATTAACATCAACTCACGTCATTCGTCAAATCGATGCAAAGTGTCATATCCGGAAGATGTCTGTAGATTTCAACAAAAGGCTTTGATTATCCTGTGCAAATAACATAAAAACAGAAATTGGGGAGTAATTTTTTTATGACATTGAGTCCCCAGATAATGCTTTTTCTATGTTAATAAGTTTTTATCAACAGGAATGAACTGTTCCCAAATAATTCCCACAATGTTTAGATCATTAAACTGGAAATTAAACCCTATAAGCAAAGGATTTAGTTTTATAGGGACCACATTTTATTTGTAATGATTGCAGAGACCCTTGTGAATTTGGAAAGTAAACAAATTACCCAATACATTTTGCTGAACTGAGGCACTGTGATAATCCAATGCAAAAAGGCATCTCTGCACTTTTTATAGAAATGGTGGGATCCAAAACATAATCAGTTTTTTTTATTTGCTTACAACTCAGAATAGAGGCTGCATTGGAGTTTGTCATAAAATGTCTTGAGAGAAATTCAGCTGAAGATACAAGTGCAGTTTTTCTGTTTTAGTGATGCAGGATCCAAATTAATCTAAAATCACTCCTGAAAACAGCCAACAATAAGTGATTTTGTAGTTGAACAATCAATCAGAGATCAAAGAGCAAATCAAGATCAAGGACTTCATTGCAATGATGTGAGTTTAAGGTTAAGTGGAGAAGCATGATGAAGGGATGGAGGCACTGGATGATGACATTGGAAAGACTTGTTGATGAAGTCTTCAGGAAATTGCCAACTTAGGAGCCCCAAGATGAAACAAAGAGGAGTGGATGACCAATGAGAATGAAAAGAGTGATCATAAAAGAAGAGGAATAAAGGAAACTCTTTACTTGATTTGAAGAGTTTATTCCCACAGTCTGGATTTAAACTTTCTCTCTCTGATCATCTGGGCCACTTACTTCATGTTTTCTCCTGATTGAGCTGAATAAAATTCTCTGCCAGCCAAACCTTTAGGTGTCTTAGAATTGTGTGTGCACAATTTTATCTTTTGAGTGAAAAAACTCAGGTTTGCAATAGGCAGAACAAGCTCTTTAAGGCCAGAACAGTTAAAAAAAAAAGAAAGAAATTCAGGAGCAGAGTTCCAGGAAAGACCTTCCCACTGCAGCAAACTTCAGAGTTACAACATTCACCTCAAACTTCCAGCCAATCACAACACAGTTTTATGATGGCACACAAAAAGAACGTTCTGCTCTACAAATGGAAATGACTCTTAAAATGCTGCAATAACAGAATTATGTTTTTTCTCCTTTGCTGCCCGGAGAGAGAATAGACGTCTCTGTTCTTGTGAAATACACTCTGGCTTTCCTCTGACTCCTTTCATTTGTTTCCTCAAACAAAAACTGGTGAACTAAACTTTACTTACTTAGAAGTTTTAACAACTGTTGGGTGGATTTAACCAGTTGGTTGTTTGGTCAAAAGCCAAAATACAAACACTGGGACATTTTCCGTCTGTGGTAGATACATGTGTTCAGTGTTTTATAAAACTGTTTTTTGGAGAACAGCTGAACAAGTCTAGGCTGCTATTTAACCAGTTTAATTGGGCGGTTTTGTAACTGTCAAACTACTTTGTGTAAATAATCCTCAGCTAATGAAGCAAAGCACATAAATTAGCCTCAGCTCATTAGGAAACACCAACAGCAGAGTCACCAGCTCATGTGTGGAAAAGATATTTCCTGATAAACTTTGTCATATTTCCACTGAAGAAACTGGGTATAAATTATCTTCCAAACATTTCTGTTGGAGAAACAGACCCAGTTGGAGTTAAATGTCAACAGGAACCCTGAACTGGCTGCATGTTCAGGCTAATATGCTGGAGCTTTAAATTGCAGTTCAGAATATTTTAGCTACACTGCTCAAAGTCACAATGTACCCGCTTTATTTTTCTCTATCTGATGTAGCATCCAGTTTGGATTTAACCAAAACTGCAGTTTCAGTAATATTTTGGTTTCGCCACAACAAGAGGTGCACATGTTGAGATGAGCATCCAGGCTTTCAGTAAAGTGCATTAGCTTGGTGCTAGTGAGTGTTCAAGCAATGGCAGCAGTACAAGTCAGGCTTAAACTCAGCAGCTTATTTACAGTTGGAGAGTTTGTGTAATTAGTCAATTTTAACTGATACTTGCTCCCATTGTAGACCGCTGCAAGTTGTGACACCCCACCCAACAATATCTAGACACAGACTTGCATTAAAGAGGAGGTTTTATTAAAAATCAGCAAGTTTAAAATAAAAACCCTGGAGTGGAGGTCAGCCCAGGTTCCTCTGGACCAGACTTTCAGGAAACAGTCTGGTCAGATTAAACGTAGGCTCCTCTGCTGCCAGCCACGCGTGGTGCAGCATACTTAACAGAGTAGCGCCCATTCTGCTGCTGGCACCGACAGTAGAGCAGAGCCCCGCCGATGATCAGGAGGCTTGCTGAACTCCAGCCGACGAAGAGCGCCGCACCAAGGTCATTCTTCTTGGCATCATGCACGTTGGGGTTGTAGAAGGTCTTGATTATCTCGTTGGCAGACCAGGACACTGGGATCAGACATAGTAGACCTCCAACAATGAAGAACACACCTGCAGCGATGGCTATGCGGCTCTTAGCAAGTTCATCTTCAACACAGTTGGTGCACTTTCCCCTACGACGGCTAGCTGGAGTCCCAGGAAAGCAATGATGATTGAGACCACAACCAGAGCGCGAGCAGCTTGAAGTTCTTGAGGCAGAGCCAGCATGGAGGTGTGGAACTTGCACTGCAGATGCCCGGTGCTCTGCTTCACGCAGTTCATCCACAGGCCCTCCCAGAAGATCTGCGCCGTCATGATGTTGTTCCCAACAAAGGCAGACACCTTCCACATTGGCAGGGCACAAGCGATGATGTCACCAACAAAACCAATGCTTGCAAGGAAGATGCCTAAAATCTGGAAGCTTGCAGATGCCATCTTTGCTTCAGTTGCACAAAAGGTTGAAAGTCTCTTCAGCAGCAATGGATAATGCAAACAATCCTCACCTGCAGCTTTAAGTAAAGGAAGCATGAGCGGTGAATCTGACTGACTGCCAAGAACTGATCAGCCTGACAACAGCTGGGAATTAATCAAGCTGAGTGGCTCCACCTGAGTTCAATAGATGTTGGAGGCTGCTTGCTTTTAGATGAAAGCATACCTGGTTCTGCTTTCATCTACAGATAAAAGGGGATTAAAATGAGATCAGGATTTATTGTTGCATTTAACGATTGTTAAACTGTGTTTAAAAATATTCTGTTCACGATACACATGGAATAGAAATGGAAAAGTGCTTGTTTGTATGGACTTAAAATACCTTTATATGGTTCCATTAAACTGCATGTATGTCAAATAGATAGTTAGCAGCAGATTTTACAAGAATTTATTTTATTTTATTTTTTTTGTCCATTTAAAGTTGGGAGAATTATTATTCATAAAATACAGGCCAAGTTTGAATTGAAGTCATGTAGTTTCATATAAACTGAATTAAAAACAAGCAAACAAATGAAATATCATGGATTTATAACATAGAGTAGAATATCATCAAAATATTGTTTCAGTAATTCAGCTTAAAATATCAGCTTTAATAGATTTGATTGGATGATTTTGGCTCACTAATGTTTTAGTTTGTGTTTGGTGACTGTTGAAGCTCAAATACTGTCAGTTAGTTTATAGTGGAAATAATTTGCATCAAAAAGCTGGTATTAAGTTCATAGTTATCTAATTGTTGGACTAAATTTAAGACTTTTTGGGTTGAAGTTTGATCAGAGTGACATTTGTGTTACAAACAATTTTTGTTGTATTAGTTGTATTTGCAGAAACAAGTGCTCTTTGCAGCAGAAGCAGCTCATGATGAACTCTGTTCATGTACTTTATACTCTCTCTACTTTGGGGAACTTTTGTCCTTTTACAAAAATCAATTCATAGCTCTTCAAATGAGAAAAGCAGGTTTATGTGGAAACGTTTATTCGTTTTTCCCTGGCTGTCCAGCTGCTCATAATCACGTGTTTGAAAACAGCACAGTATTTCTAAAATCTTAGAAATACAGGGCTTCACAATCCTCTCGAGAATGGAGGCATCTCTTTTCAACCAGATTTTTTTTCCTTCCGCTAAACTTTCCATCAGTGTGCAAAGTACAGCATTTTACTGAGGCCATAGCATTCATATTAAAAGTATTTTTCTATTGATTTTCTGAAATATTCAAATTCTCAGAGCAAATAAATGGATTCTACTAATTTAGTTGGAACATAACTGTAAACACGTTAAGATTTTATTAGTAAAAAAATGTAAACGTTTATAAAGATGGCATTTAACAGGAAACATAGCCTCAATTTTTGACTTTTTCTTTAAGAATTTGCTGTTGTATTTTTCTTTTTACTAACCTATAGGTGAAAACTCAGGTTTGTTTTAAATGGTCTTTTTATGCTTGTCCTTCATACACAGGCTGTGAGTTCTTTTTGTTCTCCAATCTGTTTTTTGGGGGTACTGAAGGGCCTCTTTATGTGAGGGGAACGCCTCTTGGCTCAACCATAATAGATGTGTATATGTGAACACTGGTGCGAGAGCCCACCCCGACAGACTTGCATAAAACTTCTTGCAGCAGACGAACTTTCAGTTGGTGGCCAGGCTCAGAGGAAAGACGAAGAAACCTGACAGAAACGGCGTGGCGTCTTTAGGGTTGCAGATTCTTGGGGTCGCTCTGGCCGTGATCGGATGGTTGGGGAACATCCTGATCTGCGCGCTGCCGCTATGGAGAGTCTCTGCCTTCATTGGCAACAACATTGTGGTGGCTCAGAGCATCTGGGAAGGCCTGTGGATGAGCTGCGTGGTGCAGAGCACAGGCCAGATGCAGTGCAAAGTCTACGACTCCCTCCTGGCTCTGCCTCCAGACCTCCAGGCGGCTCGGGCCATGAGCGTCATCTCCATCCTCTTCTCCTTCTTCGGCCTGCTGCTGTCTGTGGTCGGTGGGAAATGCACCACCTGCATCGAGGATGAAACAGCCAAGGCTCGAGTGTGCATCTCTGCTGGGGTTTTCTTCCTCCTGAGCGGAGCGCTGTGCCTTGTGACCGTCTCTCTGCCGGCCAACACCATCATCAAGGACTTTTACAACCCACTGATTCCTGATGCCCAGAGGAGGGAGCTGGGTGCCTGCCTGTATGTGGGCTGGGGGGCAGCGGGGCTTTTACTGATCGGCGGGGCACTGCTGTGCTGTCAGTGCCCGTCAAGAAGAGAGCACTACAACGGAGTAAAGTACACTGCGCCGAAATCCGCAACGTCAGGGAAGGAGTTTGTCTGAGCTGCTGAGCAACAGAGAGTCGAACTCACCAAAAGACAGAACAAACTTTCTGAGGGGATTCTGACTAACATCATCGACTAAAATAAACAGACCTTCTGCATGAGAAAGATTGATAATTAACTCATTAAATGTCAGTATTCGGCAATAATTTCCTCACTTATGGATTGTGATGATCAGTAAGATTTTCTAACTTGTCTTTGTTTTTATTATCTGAGATGCATTTTTCAATGCTATATTTCATTAAAATAAATACATTTTATGTCAAAAATGTGGCATGTGCTCTTTTCACAAGTGAAATAGGTTTTTGGAGTATCAACTATAATGAGGAGATTTGTCTGCCACAAAAATTCAGATTGGGAAAAATGTTCTTAAATCTAAATCTGTTAATTAAATTGTCAGAGGAGAGGTTTTCAAAGTGAGGTACACACGTTTCTCCAGCAGCACAAGTGGCTGATGAAAACACTTCATGAACTATTTCTGGTGCGATGTTCTCTGAAAAATGTCAATAAAAATCAAGACCAAATGTTTACCAAGAAAACTGCTGAGAAAAATAAGTTACCTACATTGGTGATGTTTGTCAATATGAGGTATTTGGGTTTTACTTGCTTCTACTCTGCTTTCTTCAGAAGAACCTTTTTGGTTTTAACAGTGTCTGTGATTAGTTTTTATTTTCACTCTTTATGTTGTCACTCTCATATTGGGTTTGTAAATAAAAGCAATGTCTGATTGTGAACAGAAACTCTGAAGTCCTTCGTCTTTTATCAGGTAGTTAATCAGCTACACTTAGCAACAGGTGGGGAGGGGGGTAGTCTCTATGCTCTAAACAGCCAGAGGAAACTCCTTCAGTCACTTGGCACATTACTTAGAAACACTGTCCCAGAAAATATTGCGGGTTTGAATCTGTAACCTTTTAAATTCTTGGTAAAGCTGACAAATGTTAAAGTGACACTTAAAAAAAACACTTCGGCGCAAATGTTATTTTTGTCAAGCTTGTTTTTTTTAATGAAAGTAAAATACAAACACATTTCATCATTACAACTATACATGTGCATTTTCTAGCAGTCAAAGTTGAGGGTTTACATTCATTTACTTTTCTTTTTTTGTGTTCAAAGGTTTGAATCTGAAGCACTGAAGATGATTTTTAAAGGTTTGTCCTCCTCAGAAGACTTGAAAGACGTCCTTTCACCCAGGGAGGTGAAAATATCCATTCTTTGAACAACTAAAATGGTTTCTCAGCAACATGGATCCAAGCATACGCAGCCCTCTGTTGTCTCTGCCGGTGACATCCATTTTACTCAAGACAGAAACGATAAATCACTGTCTCAACACAACGGCTTTCCATTACAGCACAGCAAACATCTCATCCAGTTACAGTAAATTCCCACGAGGTTCCCCTGCTGGATTCCTCTCCTTGAAATTGTTTCAAGGTCTTGAAACAATTTCAGGTTTATTGACAGGGCAGATGAAGGATAACAAACATCCGTTGTTATCTTTATGTAATGCAGCTCATTTCTTAACCTTTGTAAAACATCATAATTGTCTAGAAAAGGTAAAGTTACAGCAACAGTATATATTAGAAATGCACCAATCACAGTTTCTCAAACAATATTCATGGTTTCCTTTGAGAATTTCAACATCTTTATTATGACCTTTTGCAGATATATTAAAGAAATCCAATGTACATCAAATCGCTTTATAGTACTGGTTTCTAAATTCACAGGAAAACAAAGAAATTTCTGTTGGTTTTTTTTTGTTTGTTTTTAGACCCAAATGGAGCATCATAGTACCAGCTGATTGTTGATGCATTTATAGGTCAATGAAGGAAGTTGCTCTTTTTTGTTGCTCTTGTGTTTCTGATTATTTCTTTTTTCTTTTGTGAATGGAAAAAGAGAATCAGATTTTGACCAATCAGGGAAAATTAGCTGATTGCTTCTTAACGCCTACTGGTTGGAGAAACTATCATATTACTCAGATAATGATTATTTGCTAATTTATTATAAGAAAACTTTAAAAGTTCATTCACTCTAAAGGTCTTGCTAAGATCTTTTTAAAACCTCAAAATTTATCAAAAGGTCTACAAAACTACAAGTAAGGAACTAGATTAAAAGTACTTTTAGCAATGGAATTAAAGATCTCTGCAGACAGGAGACTCACACATAGTCCACATTTGATGAGACGGTTCTTGCTGGGCCAAACTTTGCAGGAATGTAGGGTCTGTTGTCCTTTGGGGGGCAGTTGTTGCAGAGCAGACCACCTCCCAGAAGCAGCAGGGCTGCAGAGCCCCAACCGATGTACAGCGCAGCGCCAAGCTCCCGTCTTTGTGCCGCCGTCACCAAGGGGTTGTAGAAATCCTGATGACTGTGTGAGCTGACCAGGACACCGGGGTCATGATTAGCAAGGCGGTTATGATGAAGATTACTCCAGAGACGATGCAGGCTTTGGCTTTGGACGCCTCGTCGTCCATGCAGTTGGTGCACTTCCCTCCAACGATGGCCATGAGCATGCCAAACACGCCGACAATCACAGAGATGATCACCATGGCCCTGGCGGCCTGCAGGTCCTGAGATAGCGCCAGCATGGAGTCGTACACCTTGCACTGCATCTGCCCCGTGCTCTGGACCACGCAGCTCATCCACAGGCCTTCCCAGATCACCTGCGCGGTGACGATGTTTGCCCCAACGAAAGCGGTGACCCTCCACATGGGCAGAGCGCAGGTGATGATGGTGCCAAGCCATCCAATAAAGGACAGGAGGATACCAAGGATCTGAAGCCCCTGAGAAGCCATGATGAGCCCAGAGGTGATGACTGGTAGAAACGAAGATGATCACGTCGTAAATTCTTCTTTTTGGGTCTTTACATGCTCCGCAGTCACACCTGTTTATGAACACGGTTCCTCAACTCTGAATCTTCAAAAGTTTCTGTTGTCTGACAATAAATAGCCTTAGTTGTGGTTCAGAGGTGGAGTTTCTGTCCTACTGGACAAAAACAGGGACGAAAACTGAGACCTGATACCTTCAAACTCTTGTTCATTGTTCTCTGACATACAACGTTCTGTTATTTGAAGCAAGCCTTCAAGATTGGGAACAATGACTGCAGTTTGCAGCTGTGTTTGTCCATGCACCCTCCCCCCACACACATATAGGTCAGCTCTGGCCTCAAGCAAATACAAACAGTAAGATTACTGCAGTAGGTTTAGCTAAAAACAGGCAGATTCTTTAAAAAAGAAGGAAAGGTGGAAGGTAATTAAACTTTCCACCCTTCTGTAAGTCTTGCAATTTTATTAACTTTTGTTTTAACAAGGAGAGTTATGTCCTAAAACCAACATTCTCCAGAGATCTAACTTCTTTGTGTCGAAACCACACCCTCCTCCCATTTTCTCAAATTGGCCTCCACATTACACCAACTGGAGCCACACTCTTACTATAATGCTGTTCTATTTTACCTCCTGATTAACTATTACATGCATAGGAGAAAATGCAGAGACTTATTTTCCCATTATGATGAGGTAGGAACATTTCAGATAAGAGAACAAAACATAGACTGTTTTCTCTTTACAATCGTGGACAATTAACCCTTGTAAGTGTTTCCAGTCAGGGAAATTACAAATACATCAACCTCTTTTTATTATTGCAAAACAAGGAGAAGTTATTATGTTTTTCAAACGCATATTTGGGCCATTTTCTGTGACGTACATCATTCAGAAAAAGATCATAGATGATCACTTACCATAACTTCCCTACCAATGTGTGGTATTTACATTTCACCCAGGATGTTTGGGTCAGATGTGTTTGTGTCTGTGCACTTACAAATGCAAAGTCAATACAAAGCCTTGTATTGATCTGCAGTGTGAATCTTATCTTATTGCTTCTGGATAAAGTTGTAATAATTGTTGCAATGCGCAGGTGTGGATGCCTCACAGCTGATACCTGCACATTTCTAGGTTAATGTGCAGGTGCTACATTAACCACCTGCACCATTTAAATTCAACTTGGTTTCTTTGTGGGCGAAATTTCCAATTAAATAAACATATTTTTAATATTTGTTCACAGAATAATCGTGGACTGAATTTTAAACCTATGCAGCATAGAAAAAAGGTTTAGCAAAAATATTAATAAATAATTGTGCAATAAATGGGAATGTAGTTGTGATTTAAGCATTTTTTCTGATTATTTGTCTCAGTGAGTAATCTATAAAATAGCAATGTGTAGATTCAATGTTGTTTTATTTTTGTGTAACCAGGTTGTTGTGTTGCGTATTTTTTCTGCCCAGGTGAAAATGAGATGTTGATCTCGATGGGGTTTCACCTGGTTAAGTAAAACCATACCTGTGTGGTTGGCAACACGCTTCCATTTCAGTAAATGTAAGCACACATGTGGCATTTTGTTACATCAGAAGATTTCTGAATCTTATGAATGCTGCTCTATTTAACCTCGTGATTAAATATTACATGCATAGGAGAAAATGCAGAGACTAATTTTCCCATTATGATGAGGTAAGAACATGGTAAATTACTATGCCATGTTATACTCTGGCAAATTCAATTAATTGGTCAAATTGAGTTGCGTTTTTGTGATGACCTGGCAACCTTTCCAGGATGTGCCTGATGACTTCTGTTGCTCGTCACCAATAAGTAATTAATTATACAGCTGCAATGCCAATGAAAACGTTCCCACTGATTATTAATGGCAGTCTAAATGATTTTGTCATGAGAGTTTTTAATAAAGCATAAATTAATACAATTAGATAATGTTTATTTTTTTATTTGACATGTTTTGCTATCTTTTGAGAAATTGTTGTTTTATTTTCTGTCAAAAAAGCTCCTTAGATCAATTAAAATCATTATCACCTATGTTATAAAAATTAGTCATTTATACCTTTGTAACAATTGAGCCTTATTAAGGTCAGATAGTTATTTGAAACTGATTTCAAATTTAACAGCAGAGATGCTTTTTAATATGGTTTTGAGATTTTTTATTTCATTTTCTACAAACTCAAATGATTGATAAATGTAATTTTCTATGACATCTATGAGATAATTGTGTCAAAACTGCACTGGGAACACTTACAGAAACTTTTAATATGCAGACCATCTCTTTAGGTACAGGTTGCATGCTGTAGGTTTGCATGCTGTAGGTTTGCATGCACAAACTGTCAACATTTTGTTAGTGAACAGAAACATTTGAGGTTTGTTTTAATTTAGTTTTTAAGTCTATGAATTTGATGCAAAAGTTTACATTTCTTTGTCCAGAGGCTGAGAGTTTGAGTGAAGGCAATTAGTTGTTGCCTAGCTTGATTTTCCAGCCGCACCCAAACCTGATCAACAGGAAAGTCGAACCATAACCTCTTCACTGTGAGGATATTTCTTTTCAGATGGAAGTTTGTTTTGATTTAAACTCTGCTGTAAGTAAATAAATGTGTTAAAATATACATTAATATCACAAAGTACAATTTTCAGTGATTTCTAAAAATATTTATTTATTATTTCCAGTGAAAGAGTTTTTTTTTTTTGAGAAGTGAAAATGTAAGAAAATATCACAGCCTTGCTCATAAATAAACAAAAACATGTTAATTTCCAGAACATCTGTCATAAAAAGTAGATAAGAAACATCCCACAGTAACATGACCAGAACTAAATTAAAAAGTTGTCAAAAACACACATAATTGTGTAAATATGCTAATAAAGAAACACCTAAAAGTGTTGGTACAATATTCAATAGCCATAAAC